CTTGGGAATATAACTCAATAAAAATCTCAATTTTGGTTAAAAACTTTCAAAGCATGGTTTTGCTGTGTACCAACCCATATAATAATTGACGGGTTAAGTTTAAACATTTTTAAATCAATTTTATATTGCATAATATTTACTTTATTAAATTCATTAACCGTTACAAATACATGATGCAACTCGGAGGTTTCAATTGACCTGACGAAGGAAATTACCTAATTACTATATTAATAGCTTCACAAAATTTCATATGTATAAAATATATTTCATTTAATATATTTAACTAATTTACATTTTATATTTTTATTCTTGATTTTTGATAGGAAGCTCTGTAACGTTGCTAACTACTTGAAAGACTTCATAATCTAAGATAGTATATGACTTTAAGTTCATAAGTTTAGGGTAAGATTTTATTTTAAATTTCCAAGTAGTGCTGCTATTTGGAACGTATAAATCTGGACCTTCGCCAAAAATTGGACCATGACTATCATCGCAAAAAATAGCATTACCACTATCATTACGATTAACGTGTGACACAGCAGCTTTTTTAATGTTTTTATGATCCATTGCAAATAAGAAGCTATCCGTTGTTCTTTTCCATACATTTTTACCAATTCAATCAAGTGGATTATAACCTCCAATAAGAAGATCAGAATTTTGAATTTTTGCAATAACAATTTTCGATGAAATGCTTGTGATGAGAGACCATCTAAGCTACTTCGGTAAAGAAGATTAAAATTATATTTAAATCCTTTTAAGTTAATATTATCATCTATAGATTTTTTATCTATCCATTTCGTTAATAATAGTGCAATCTCCTTATTGATGAATATTGAGTCGATTTTAAAGTTACCCCATCTAATCAAAAATGGTTGATAAAATGGTTTAGTATCTGAGTCTAAATAACAGCGTAGTACATCTTTAATTAAATCGTTAGGAAGGATGCTCATATATTCCCATACTTCAGGAATAAATTCTTTACGATCCATCTGATAAAATCTAATAAGTTTAATTAATTCATGTAATGTCTCTTTTAATATATCATTGTCATTATCCTTGGTGTCTTCACACATTATGCCAACATTCTTAGTGTCTTCACACATCATGACATTATGTTAGTGTCTTCACACATTATGCCATCATTTTTAGTGTCTTCACACATCATGCTATCATTCTTAGTGTCTTCACACATCATGCCATTATTTTTGGTGTCTTCACACATCATATCACCTTCAAGCATTGTATTTTGTGCGATCCCCCATTCAACTAGTTTTTTTCCAAATAACATTTTCTTTCATATCGAGGTTATCGCATTTAAGAATTAATTTTAGCGCGTAATGCATTTAAATTAGGTTTTGATAAAATCCAATAACCATCTTTTCTTTCAACCCATTTCTCAGATAATGCACTACGAAAATAAGTTGATCTAGTACAAAGAATTATTGAATGAGCGTAAATTTGTTCTATATTTGGTTCTTCTCCAACAATGATAATTGTATCATAACGTTCTTTAGTTTCATATAACTTTTTAAAATCTTCAATTAGATCGTTAGAAAATACACCCGTCATTATGAGTTGTCTAGGCTTGTATATTAGATCCTTTTTCCTACCTAATTAACGGTGTGATATTATTTATTTATCTTAATTTAACTGTTAAAAAAATTAGAATACGTACTTACATGATATCATATTTATCATACTATAATGTCACTCTAAAAAGTGTAATGACGTAGTGTAATAATTGACATGTAACTCGATGTAGTTTAATAGATTCTTTATAGCCAAAAATACAGTAACATAATTAAAATAATCATACGTAGAAATTTACCGTAAATGATGAAGTCAACAAATGGACGTCATTACAACTAAGAATTGTCCTTTTTTTTTAAAGACTAGTTAATTAGATACTATTTTAATATATATGTATTTTTTAATGATATATTTTTTTAAGTATGATAAATAATAAGTGAAATCGTAAATTAGCAAAAAAAAAAGTTGTAAAGCTTCTTTAAATAAAGAAATTAATTTACATCAACATCTTAAAATATATAAAATCTTGTAAAAAAAACAATAATTTAAATTGATTTATATTTATAAAGCAATTTGTCAATTAAATTTCGTAACTAATTTTGTCTCTAATTTCTTTATTCATTTATACAAATTATTCATTTAGACAGTATTTATTTGAATAGGATTAACCGTACTCTTTTAATACTAACTGATTCAATGGGCTAAATCTCTTGATGGCTTACAGTTCTCATATATTCTGAACGAACTAAAATTTTATTTTTTGAACCTCCTTAGATTTTTGTTTTATGAATTATCTAACACTTGAAATCACCTATATCAAAGTTTCTAATAAGTTTAAAAGTTTACATCTGATTTCATTATTCCTAAAGTAGATAAAAAATTTCTTATATCCTAAATAATAAGTTTTGATTTCGACAACGCTGGTAATCATTATAAGAATAGCTGTAATACAGTAATATGTTTTTTAATCTAAAACATCAACTTCATCATCGTATATCAGATAAGCCAGTCATTTGAACAAGTCAAATATGCGATCAAAGGTTCGACATTATTTTTCATAGTGGTGAATCGGGATATGTTCATTTGACTTAATCACAATATATATATAGGGATTTAGCAAGCATAATAAATTATATTCTTTTGTGTCACTATACGTATTTTTTTAAGGGCTAAACGAACTCTATTAATAATAAAAATTTTAATACAAGAAAATGATTTAATGTCTTATATTCGAAACAAAAATTCAGCGGATCACATGATAATATATTCAACCAAATTTTGGTAAAAAAAAATTATTTTATTTAGACACGAATTATTGGGCAAAATTAAGTTTTTATACTGTATATTGCGATTAAAAATCCATTAATATTCTTAATTAGCCGAAGTCACTAAAATCTCGAGTTGAAGCAATTCTTGAATCAATTATGTTATACTGTCGAATTTATTTTCATATAAAATAAAATGAGGAGAAAAAATACTATAAAGTTATAAACTAGTCATATTAAAGTACATTTTTTTACCTTCAATTTGTTGCAAAGCGTTCACATAAGCATGTTGCTTATGTTTTTATTATTTATTTTATTCAAAGGAAGTTACAAAGCGCAAAAACATTAACATTTGATTTGATTAATATCGAGCATTACAAAGCATCAGGTTGTGTATGTAGATAATATCAATTCTTAACGCCTATATATTCGAGCAAAAAGTTTAGATGCTGATTTACGTCTATTACTATTAGTATTAGATCGATGTTGATTAAATGCAAAAGCTTGACCACGTTGCGCCGTAAATTTCAAATTTTTCAAAGTTTCCCCATTGATTTCCAAATTATATAATTCTTTTTCATATTTGATTATATCTTCTGAAGTGATTATATCTCCAGAAGAATCATTAGATGCGATAGCTTTTTTTATAATTTCAATTTTTGCCATATATTCTCTTTTCGTCTTTTCAAGTCCTTCAATAATTGCATTATTATAATTGGCGGGGTCATGACTTTTCTTGGCTTTTTCTTCACGTATGAAAAGATCCAGGTATTCGGCATATGAATCATTAAATGTGGCTATCGCACTTTGTCTTAGAAATTTTGCGAACAGGATATTAATTTCTGTTATCTTCTTTTGTTCACTTTCTAGTTGTCTGCGTTTTTGTTCGCAACTTTTTATGGCAGTTTCTTTTGTTACTTTAAATGAATTTTTATCATTAATTTGTTTTTCCACATTCTTATCAATAGCATTTATAGTTTTATTGTAGTACTCAACAGTCATATGCATATGTATCGCATAATTGCAACCACATACTTGACAAGTTCCATTCTTTTGCATAGCCGCACAATTTAATAATTTGGCATTATTAAGCATTTCAGTCACAACCCCATCCAAATAACAATGTTCATGGCAATGAGATTTGTAGTTAAAATTCCCATCTACACATTCATAATTGCAACCAGTGCATACCGTTCTGGGATATCCTAGTTGTTTTGGTTCAAGGACTCGCTGAGGAATAGACAATCTCTTTTTAAGATCTTGAATAGATTCAGCGCAACTATCAATTTCTTTTTGCCGATCTTTAATCAGGTTAATATTTGTTTGAATATTTTGTTCTATGGCTGCAAGAGGTTTAGCGAGATGTAATACAATATTTCTAGCTTCATTGAGTGTTAAAGTATCTTGTACTTTGTGAGGTTTACGGTAAGAAAGGTATTCAAATAGTCTTACAGATTCATTTATTGATCTTTTCCAACTTTCTGCAAAGCTTATTTCATCTTCCTTACTAAATTTTACACCATTTTTGGTTGCAGCTAGAAATCGAAATGATTCGTTATCAAAACAGTACATGGTTTCTTTGTTCGTCTTTATTTCAACACTAGATCTTTGTTCAAGTTTACGGAGTTGTTCTTTAAGCGCTGGTAATGTATCACCTGGACGATAAAGAGTTCCTCTAGAATTAGTGAAACAAAAAACAATGTTGTCTTTGGCACTCTTATGCAAATGAGATAATAATTCTTGTATACAAAATTTGAATAATATAGTTAATCGAGCACTATTTGGCTTGAGAAGAATACAAATTCCATTTAAATATTCGTAATTGCTGATATATTTGAGAATATTTTCAAAGTTTTCTTTGTCTTTATCAATTCCTCTAGTATCACCAATTCCTGGACTATCAATAAATCTTACGATAACATCTCCTAAGTCAAATTGATATTCTTTACATGATTGAGTGGCTGACATTCCAACATTTGCTAAATTTTCGTTTGAATCATCCCCAAGTTCTATAGTTCTAAACTCATAATCTTCATCCGTTACTGTGAACTTTGATGGGATCAATATTTCCATATTTCCAGATAACGCATCGTTTAATGTATCAAACTTAAGATAATTGTAGAGAGCATTGATAAATGTGGATTTTCCTACACCAGTTTCTCCAAGTAATAATATATTTACTTCTTTCGGTGAGGGTGTTACCATTGCCATGATTGAAAATCAAAAATAGAAGAGCTACAGCGAATTCGATTTTATATCAAAAATTTCCTACAAGTGACAATTAGACGTACGGTAGAATACAAAATTTTCTGTGGTTTATAAATGAAAAAGAATATAATAATTAGACTCATTCAACTTTTGACTTGATTAACTCAAGTTTGTCATGATTCGAACCATGAGTATACAAAATTTTCTGTGGTTTATAAATGTATCAGAATATAATAATTAGACTCATTCAACTTATGACTTGATTAACTCAAGTTTGGAACCATGAGTATATTAAACTTACCTGCTCTTCTTAAAACGTATTATAAATATACGTATGCCATAATGGAAATTCGAATTTGTTAGACTCAACAATTATAAAACTAATCATTGAGACTGATTATTCTTTTATGAGATACTCGCGTAAATCAACGTATGACGTTATTATCTTGTGCGAAATAAATGTTTAATAAGAAATTCTAGCAGATTCATAAATGTAACCATTTTATAAAAATAGTCAAAAATGTTAAGCTCTAAATATTACACTTTATGAGATCATTTCAATCTTACTGTGAAAGAACGAAAAGAAAACAGTGAACAAAATCTATTGTACTGTAAACTATAAAATTTCGGTTTAATCAAGATAAAATTCAGACATAATTTAAGCGATTAAAAATTTTGTTATTCATTTGACAAATTTCGTTGACTATAAGTTTTTAAATATGACGTTGTTAAAAAAAAAAGGAGTTTCGCCATTGCATAATATTTGCAAACTACGTCGTATATCAAATTATATTTAAAATTTTGTAAAGAAAATAATTGAATAAATTAACTTACCGTAAATCGCCGTATACAAGACCCATGTGATGCAATTTTTTACAATTGAAAAAAAATTAAATCACGTGCATTACGCATCACTTGATGTATACCGTATTACCGCGAAATAACGATCAATCATGGGCGTTATTTTGAAAATCGCATCCCCTAAAAATAGCATAATGGGTTTCGAAATAACGCCCATGCGCGTCCCGAAATAGCGCGCACCATATATAATATACATATAATCGAATGTATAACACGTGAAATACATACAGTTAAAGTTAGTGTTAGAATCCGGA